CGGCTTCAATTAAAATGGACAAAACTGGGTTTTCCCGTGTAGTCTTCAAATGATGTTGTTTTGGAATTTAGGGATTTATACGAAAATGAGCTCTTCATATGGATGGCTAAATATAAAGAACATAGAAATCGTATTGCAGTGTACAGTAAAAAAAACTTAAAAAGAAAAAAGAATCACTAGCAACGACAATTTCGGGACGACCAGTATCCATCGATGCGACTATACCGTTTACTTGCCAAGGATTGTAGGGGTTTTTGGCAAAGACGCAAATATTGGCGTACTTGCCAAGTACACTTACCAATGTAGTACAAAGTGGGGACTGGTGGGGATACTTGCCAAGTACACAAATATTGGCGTACTTGTCAAGTACGCCAGTCGTGAGAATCCGCCTTAAGATCAAGAGTGTCAAATAATATCCCCAAATAAGAATAATTAATGGCACCACCGACCTACGTCCACCGGATATGTTGTTTTATTGAAATTAGTAAAACTGCGGTACTAAATACCGGACGCGCCCGCTCGAGGGTTAATGTAACCATAATTGTTTTACTAAGCCGTCACAGGAATTTGTGAGAGCTGACAAATTTTAAAATTTATTCGGTAATATTTATCTTTTCATTCTAAGATACGATTACAAATTTTTTCTCAAGACCACCTTTATTTTCAAGATGAACATGTCCTGACGCTGATCACAAAACAACACAAACTGTACCAAGATCTGCTGACTTTGAATAACTAAGCACCGGGAGCTTATAAGCGACAGTAACATTATAAAATTAAACTATCTTAAAATTTTAATATTACAATAATAATATTTTTACATTCTTTGTTCGAAATTTGAATTTTTTAAATAAATTTGTACCCTTTTGAGTTCAAAAGTGACTTGCGGAAAAGTGAAGCTTTGTAGTCGAACTGAATTTGTAGAATTTATTTTTAATTTAAATAAAAATATAATTTCTAAAAACATTCTAGTTTCAAAGCTAAAAGCAAAAAAAGCGAAAATTGAATTAAACTTAATTTTTTTTTGTGCTTTATTTTAATTTTTATTAACCTAACTGTACAGTGTACAGGGTGTCCCATTTTGGTTGAAATCACACGGTACCTCCGCTATTCGTGAAGATAGAAGGGTGTGGTTTGCACATACCTGTGCCACTTTTTTCTCAAACGGAATATGCCGTAAACAAAAATTCCATAGCTCTCTTCGTTTCTGAGGTACAGGGTCTTTTTGAAAATTTTGCAATTTGGGACACCCCTTGTATCTCTGTTATTGTTAAAGGTATCGAGACGGTAAAAACTGTTTATTGTAGAACTTTTTACATACAATACATTGGCGTAGTCTGTTATTCAACAAAAATAATATTTTTAAAGATATGAAAATGTATGTGTGTAAAATATACTTTCAGCAAGATGGGGCTCCCCCTCACAACTTAACTTAAAATGAAAATATTAGTATTTTGTTAAATTATTATTTCTCAAATTAATTAATTGGAACCAATGGACCCATATGATGGCCTCACTGATTCCCGGATTTGTCCGTTCTCGATTTCTGATTTTAGGGATTTTTGAAATATGAAATATATCGTGGCAAGTAATACAATGTTGAACACCTGGAAAATGATTTAATAATGCAAGCTTTAATAAGATATTTGCAAACCTATCCCGTTATAAAAAAAAGAAAAATATATTCAGAGTTCAAATGAAAAATATATCAATTCCAAATAAAATTTTAATATATGTATGACTATTTTAGTAAATACCATTTAGATTTTTTGTAATTTATTACGGCCTACACTGATAGAAAGGTTTATTTATTATTAATGAAAATGCTTAATTGTTAAGCCATGGCTGATTGAAATATATCAACGTGTATTTATATTTAATATACTATGGATCAAAACGGAATTGTTTAATTATAAAACGAGTACTTGATTCATTAATAGCTAACTCGAGTTCCTTAGAAACAAACTTTGTATTAATATTAAATACATCTATATTTTCAACAAAATACTCTTTGTTTAAAATAATTATATCTATATTATAGTTTTTTCTAAGTTAATTTTAATTAAAACCATGTGTAAAATTTATTTAACAAAATATTTATTAAAATAGAATGTATAAAAAACACAAAAAACAGTAACTTTTACCTAAATTATCCTATAAGGTAATAAATACAAAACAAATGATAAAACATTTAAAAAATATAAAAAACTAAAAATACATATATTAAACCTGTGTTGCCTTATATAGTTACCTTCCAACATAGGATAAATCTCATCATAGATACCATTACTTTTTAAAAATATCTCGATCCCTGTCAACGTCATCGCCGCCGCCGTCGTTTGCAACTCGGAAGCCGAAGCTGCCGAAGTATCCATCAAATCACCTAAATCTTTTATCACCCGACCATCTAATTATGAAACACTTCTTCGGCACTCTTAGTCCGTTATTGATTATACGCCCAAGGACAAGGCTTATGGCTTAATGGCTATCTCTTACGCTCTACCAAACAGTAAATACATACAAAATTAATCCGCACATGTCAGAACGACGAACTGAAGAACCATCACCGAACACCAATATAGATACCCACACAAACCGCAGTGAAACCAAAATTCGGGAATATCGCCTATGCCTATTTTTTAAATGGAGTTAAAATCGTCGTTCTATCTTAAACGTAGTGCCCGTCCACCCTATTTCATTTAGGACGCGACGCTATAGGCATTACCGAGAATTAAAAATTCCTAGATTACAATATACTATCTTTGTTTTATTATAAATACAATGGGGCTTTCATAGATTTATGTAGATTTATTGGTGAGACAGGACTGCTATTTATTAATCAATAATGCTTAGATGCAAAAATAGTCTGTTTTATCTAGATAAGATATTCTTTAATAATAAATACATAATATTATTCTGTATATTAAATAACAATATATTGGTACAATAGTTAAACAAGATAAACAAAACTGTTTTTTAGAAATATGTTGGGTTAATAACAAATAAATCAGTAAGTAATAAGGGGGTGATTATTAAATAGTACAGATATATGCATGTGCACATGCATATCTTTTAACAATTTACTATTTAGAAGCCTAAAATATTAATATAAAATAAATTTTATTCATGATAAATAAATACTATTGGAATCCATGACGGAATAATAATAAAGTACTTTTTTCTATCAGTGTACTAATAAGAAAATTATATATTTTAAATATTGCAGTAAATACTAAATAGTAAAAATAAATATAGAGTGATATATATTTTTGAGAAGCTCATAGCAAGGCGGATCATATGATTTATAAATATAACGGTGTTCCATTTGAAAAAAAAAACGTAACTTTAGTTCATATTGTCACACCCCATTTTGTGGGTTATGACTAGGGGCATAGCGGAATGAAACAGTTGATTTAATTTTAACAATTATTTTAATTAACTTACGAATAATAGATACAACATTATCTAAATTAGAAGGGTAATATATACTTACATAATATATTTATAGACGAACATCATCATCATTGGTTCGGGGATAATGTCAGAACTTCAAATGTCAATCCGGAATCTCGACCGCGACCCTATCGAATATTAACTATCAACTGTCGACTGTCCCCCAAACAAGTGATATTTTTGTATTTATTGGTTCGATACGTCGAATCATCAAATCAGTATTATTGGTTTATTGGTGCGATGACCGCGTTAGCGCTGATGTGATGATTTTATAAATTCGTAATATTGAAAGGAAATATTTTTCGCAATTGCCAATTATTATTGCTCATAATTTTGATTTTGAAAACTTTTGTTGCGTAAACTCGATATGCCAATGAACTTTTAATATTTTACATTTCCTTTCAATAGAATTATTAATTTACAAAATATATTTAAGTTATTTTATAAAACCAATAATAATTCATTCCTTGACAATATTTACAAAAATATTTTTTTGTTATAGAAAAACAGACTACGCCACTGTATTCTACGTAAAAAGTTTTACAAGAATCAGTTTTTATCTTCTCGATATCATCCATAATAATAATATATAAAAATATAAAAATTTTGAAAAGGTACCCAGTAGCTCAGATACGCAGAGGGCTATGCAAATTTTGCTGACAGCATCTTCCATTTGACAAAAAAGTGGCACATGCTTGTAGTTCCAGGTGTTCGACATTGTATTACTTGTCACGATATATTTCATATTTCAAAAATCCCCAAAATCAGAAATCGAGAACGGACAAATCCGGGAATCAGGGAGGCCATCATATGGTTCCATTGAGTGTAATTAATTAATTTGAGAAATAATAATTTAACAAAACGCTAATATTTTCGTTGTAAGTTAAGTTGTGTGGGGGAGCCCCATCTTGGCTAAAAGTATATTTTACACACATACATTTTCATATCTTTAAAAATATTATTTTCGTTGAATAACAGACAACGCCACTGTATTATACCTAAAAAGTTCTACAATAAACAGTTTTTATCGTCTCGATACCTTTAACAATAACAGAGATATAAGGGGTGTCCCAAATTGCAAAATTTTCAAAAAGACCCTGTAGCTCAGAAACGAAGAGGGCATGAAAATTTTGTTTACGGCATCTTCCGTTTGTCAAAAAAATGGCACAGGTTTGTGCAAACCGCACCCTTCTATCTTCACGAATAACGGAGATACCGTAGATTTCAACCAAAATGGGACACCCTGTACTTTCATAAGGGAACATTGCCAAAACATGCCACAAAAAATTACATTAATTCAGTCTACTCTAATTCTCCCCACCAAAAATTCCAATTGACTTTAGTATTAATAATAACAAGCATCTTTATTTCACGTATTTACAAACAATCTGAAAAATATATCACACAAAGAAAATGGTGTGATAAACAATAAAGGTCTAAACAAATGTAAGTACTTAATTTCTACAGATCCGCTATTTTCTAATATTCACACACACACCAATGTCAATAGATATTATTGATAACTAATATCAAATTAACTTTTGTAGGAGGGAGTAGCCTATCATACCCTTATGGTTTAGATGTTTTTGAAAATAATGTATATTGGACAGATTGGATGAATAAGACAATTGAAAAGGCAAATCAACTAACTGGGGAGAATAGGACCGTCATAGTAAACAATCTGTCAGATCCTATGGGAATTAGAATATTTCATCGTAATAGAAAAAATTTCCGAACTTCTTGCGGAAATAATAACGGAGGATGTACACATTTATGTTTACTAAAACCTAAAGGTCACTCTTGTGCTTGTCCTACTGGGATTAAATTGGATGTAAGGATTATTTAAAATTACCTCTTCTATGTGTCAAGACATGTTTTTCCAAATATTTTCAGGAGAATAGAAAATCATGCACGAACGGACCTCTAAATTTTTTAATAATGGCCCATAGAATGGATATTAGACAAATATCACTGGACGTACCTTACATGGCTGACGTGGTATTACCGTTTAAACATCTTAAATTAGCTACATCGGTAGATGTTGATCGAAAAACTGGTGAAATTTATTGGACTGATACATCAGAAGATTGTATCCAGAAATCAACGCCGGATGGAAAACATAGGGTAGCAATCATTACACATGAAATTGAAACTCCTGATGGGGTAGCCATTGATTCGACAGGACGAAAGGTTTGGTTTATTTATAAATATAATTTAAACATAACGATTATTTTAACTACCAGATATATTGGACTGACGGCGAAAGAAATAGTATTGAAGTAGCTGAATTAAATGGTTTCAATCGAAAAGTACTTTTTAACAGTAAAATTTATAATCCCCGAGCTATAACTTTACATTATCATCATGGTTTAATGTTTTGGTCAGACTGGGGAACACAACCAAAAATAGAGGTAGCACATATGGACGGAAATAACAGAAAAACGTTAATCAATGAAAGTATTGCCTGGCCCAATGGTTTGGCGATTGATAGACCAGCAAGTCGTCTATTTTGGAACGATGGAAAGCTCAATACTATTGAATCATGTGATTTTGATGGAAAACATAGAAGAAAGATCATCCAGAAGCTACCTCATCCTTATGGACTAGTAGTTGTTGGTAGCCACATTTACTGGACTGACTGGAAAACGCAAGCGCTTCATAGAGCAGATAAGGTGAGTTTTATGTAAAAAATAATTATACACGAATTTTTTTTAAATATTTGGATTTTTGCATATTTTGAAATTATTTTAAGCATTACAATGTTGCCGCTTCATTCTAAAAGTGGTATCATCTTTGTTATTTCAATAGTCAATCTCTAGTAGTTTTCGAGATAAAAAATAAAACATGTGTAAAATTGACAAAAACTTGATCTTGAATAAGCATTGGTTAAATAATAAATTCGGCATATTGAAAGCTAAAATTTGGTTTATAGGTTAAAGGAAGTCGACATATTATTCGATTTGTCTAAATAAACTGATTAGATATCAAAAAGAGAGGTCAGAAAAAATAATTATTTCCGAATGTTACAAAATCGTTAAAATTATTGTTATTTTTAATTCAAGTCATGTATATTATTAAAAAAAATCGAAACCCAAATAAAATTGCTTTTCAACGATATAATATCATGCATCTATATCTAAACCTTCAGGTTTCTTCAGTAAAGCCATTTAAAAGTTATAATTCTTTCGTTTGAAGAAATTCGTTAGCATGACAAATATTGAAACTGTATAAGTAGGTATCAATTATTAGACTTTAAGTGCTAAATTTCTAAAATTGTCATGGTAACGAAATTTTTGAAATAAAAATATAAAATAGAATTATTAATTTTTAAATAACTCTACTTAGGAAGGTTTATATATAGGATATGATATATCATTGAAAATCAATTTTATTAGTCTTATGATTTTTAAATAATATACATAGGGTTGAATTTAAAATAGCAAAGATTTGAACAATTTTATAACAAATGGAAATAAATAATATTTTTGCTCTCCCTGTGTAATATCCAATCGGTTTATTTAGACAGATCGAATTATATCGACTATCCTTAACTTATAACCGAAATATCAATTTTAAAATCGTTTAATTCTTGATTTTACCAATGCTTATTGACGATCATGTTTTTGTCAATTTTACACATATTTATTTTTTATCTCAAAAACTATTACATAGATTAGTATAATAGAAAAATTATGAGATATGAAAGTAATTTCCAAAAATGTAATAATATACTGGGTGTTCCATATAAAATAAGAAAGATGCTACCACTTTTCAAATGATGCGGCAACACTGTAAAGCTGAAGATATTTTGGGAAGATGGAACAGGTCCCTTTATGTAAAAATACAAATTTTCAAAAAAATTCTAGCACTGGTTCTCCATAAACGTCCTAACGTGCCATCGCATCGCCGTGAATCACCTTATATATATATATATATGTCTATCTATCTATCTATTCAGCCTCTTCGGTCCATCGTTGGACATAGGCCTCCCCCAATCTCTTCCACTCTTCCCTCTCTATCGCCGTGCTCATCCATCTTGTGCCTGCGTGTTTCCTCAGATCGTCTTGCCATCTCATCTGAGGTCTTCCTCTACTTCTTCTATTCTTATATATGTATGATATTTAATTTGGGTAGAAATTGGTTGTCTATTAATCAAGAATACAGCTACTGCTGCTTTCCGGTTCGCTTTCGCCAAACCTCTCTATCAAATGCATCCAGTTCTTCCAGCTGTCTGGATGCCATCGCTTGCGTGATTGTGTTATTCCACGAAATTCCAATGAATAAAGAATAAAAAGAAAGGAGGCTTTCTATATTTCACCTACAGAAGAAACGGGGACGGAAGTCGCCATATTGGAAAACCTCTGATGACAGTGATGACAGTCGTTGGTTCACGTCGGACATGCATAGGCGTAACAACAGGGAGGTCCGGAGGTACAGGGCCGACCCTCGTTGTGGTGGGCGCCCCCAGGAAAATCTTGAATTTTGACTAAATTATGACTGTTGACTAAATATCAATTTTTATTTGCTTGTGATTGATAAATATAGATATAGAAAATATAATAAATAAAAAAAAAATATAAAAATTGCCTTAAAATATTAATTTGTTTCAAAAATATTATTTTGTTTTGTTCAAAAAATGTGTATTAGCGTTTATTTTTGACAAAATTTGTAGGTATTTAAGGAGATAATTAATATATTTTCATGTTACGCTACTGGCATCCGGAAACCCTTCGGCGCCATATGCAACAACCAGTAGGTCTCCTGTCTATGACCAAAACCCATCTTCCTTTTTATTCTTTATTCAATGCGAAATTCTTGATCTACCTCGTCTTTTTTTTGGAGGACTCCACTGAAACAGACACTTCCTCCATCGATCTTCTGGCCTTCTTAATAGATCTGATGGTCAAATTACTTCAGACCTCAGGTTTTTATTCAATATATAATTGTCTCTGAGATAGTCCATTTCGACAGCTGTAAGTATTATATTTAATTAACAAAAAATAACTTAAAAAGTATATCCAAGGTCTTGATGGCCATGCTGATGTCTATGTTGAGGTAAATAAATCTTCTGACTACACTTCTGAAAAGTCTTGGGTCTGTAAAAAAATATAAAAATTAGTTGTTCACTAACATGCTTGATTACTATTGAGAGGGTACATAAAATATTATAAGAGAAATCTTCGTAACATAGAGAACTTTTTTTAATAATAACACAGGAAAAAAGCATAGGTAAGTAAGCTGTATCTACAATTGACAATTTTTTTATTATTACGGAGGTAGGAACCTTTAGTGTTACAACAGCTGTCAAAGAACGGACGTTTCATTTCGGCTGTTAGAGCCCATAATTTAACAGAGTCAACCAAGATTGGCCCCAGCCATTTTTTTTTGCTCTAAGAGAGATATGCTGATCCCACCACAATAAATTCAAACATCCCACTATTCTCTTGCCAGCTAGAATGCGGAGTTTAATCTCAACTTCCCTGTTTAGTTACGATTGACCCTAAATATTTATAGTTGTCGACCTGTGTGACCTGAATATCAGCCGTCATCAGAACTACAAAGGCTGCTTCACTAACTTAACTACTAGATATTCTGTTTTTTAAGACTTATTTGTAGACCGCACTTGTTACGTACTTACTTGTTACTGCACGCACTAACTTACTTGTCACTACAACTGTACGTTTCATGTTGTATATAGAGTCTTCTCATCAAGGTCAAAAGCATCCTGCGCAAGCACGACCTGGTCGTCAGGAAAATTTAATGGTAAATAATTTGTGTGTGCCATACAACATTCGCTCCCATACAACATGGTGGGGATTATTAGTGTACTCGCTATACTGCTTCATTCCTATGAATGCCTATAAGTTCAAATTGTCTTTTCCATTCTTCCAGCGCGACTCCTACATAAGCATTGAAAAGTAAAAGGGAGAGGCTGCAACCCTTCAGACAGTCGATTTCCTACTTTTATAAGCGATACATTGTTTAATTATTTTTACTAGAACCATATCGACATCCAGCCGTTCGAGATACATACCGCCATTACTCGCTGACGAGTGTTTGACACGCATCAGACGATGGCCACGCAAGGCGTTTCTTTTCATGAGCTTTTCTTTGACTGAAAGGTCCAATACGTGATGTTATCTGTCTACTGTTTCTTTACTTTTTGGTTGTCGCTGTTAACTGAGTTTACAATTCTTCTCCAATGAGTTATTTGAGCTGCTTCTTCTCACTCTTTCTGCATGTTAACCCCCTTTAAGTTTTCGTGGAAAATGTCCTTGCACCTTTTGAGTTGTCCACCCGGCCTTCTCTTACCGCCTACAAGCTCACCGTAAAGCAGAGATTTTGGTATGCGGTTTTCTTGCATTCTGCATACGTGACTAGCTCATCTTAAACGGATTTTATGAATAATACTCTCGCACGTAGCCTTTTCAAGGACAGATACGTTTGATTGATTCTTAAGAGTTGTCTAAGGTGTATCTGTTGCAAGTTGCTTAATGCGTTCATGTGTTGGCGGTACGGCACCCGGGTTTCGCTCCCATACAACATGGTGGGGATTATTAGTGTACTCGCTATACTGCAAGTTTTGTTTTTGTGCTCAAGTCATGGTTGTAGAAAACCCTGTCTTTTAATTTCCAGAATGCTCTTGAGGCGCTGCTAATCCTGTGCTGAATTTCAGAGTCGATATTGGCATTTTCCGAAATCAAACTGCCGAGGTAATTGAATTCCGCTACATATTTCAATAGTTCTTCTCCGATTTTATAGCATTGTTGTGATCTTCTGGAGGAGTGCACATGATTTTAGTTTTGTCGATCTTTAGCTTAAGACCCAAAGCCTCGTATGCCCAGATATATATGTTCAACATTCCTTGTAATTGTTTGGTTAGTTTTTGCTAGATCTACTTACGTATTAAAGTTCTGTGATGAATTTTGTACGTATTTTTGCCCTGAGTCATTTTATGTTAAACAGACCACCGTCGTATCTGTATCTAATGCCCAATCTTCTCTCCTGCAGTTTGTTGTCCACTATAATGGAGAGCGCTGCCATGAATATGTTGAATAGGAGAGGCGCTAAGACACGTCCTTGCCTAACTCCTGTATCTGTTAGGAAGGGATCGCGCCATGATGTGACGCTGTTGACTTGTTGTTATGGAAGGTTTTTTACACACTGTAAGGAATTTGTTGGGTACTCCGAACTTTTTCATAATTGCCCAAAGTGCATCCCTGTTCACAGAGTCGAAGGATTTTATTAGGTCGATGAATGCAACATAAAGTTTAGACTGCTGCTCTTTTACTTGTTCCTGTAGTTGGCGGATGGAAAATATGGAATCGACGGTGCCACAGTTGGTGCGAAAACCCGTTTGCAATTCTGGAAGGATTTTTTTCTATATGTGGGTGCAGGCGGTTTGACATAATTTTTGCAAGAGTTTCCTCCGGTAGCCAATAATGAAATTCCCTGGTAATTTCCTCAGTCTTTGCTTGTTCTTAAATATATTCACTATATTCGCGTTGCAAAAGTCGTAAGGTACCTTTCCGCTTTCCCATGGGACATCAAAGAGAGCCTTAAGATGATTTTTTACCTGCACACTAAGTTGTTTTATGTAGGCCTTTATTTCCTGTTCTGTTATTGGGATATCTAATATATCGAGGCTGTTATACTGAGGTATTGTGTTTAGTGCTTCTATATTGGGGTTGTTTTCCTGGTTAAGGATATGGCTGTAGTGCTCTTTCCAGCGGTTTCTGACTTGCTGTTTCTATTTTAGAAGTTCGCCATTTTGTGATGATTAGGCAGCTTACCTTCTTGGTTGAGCCGTATACTTCTTTTACAGCCTAGAAGAATTTACGATAATTGTGATGCGTGTTGTACTCTTGAATCTTATTAGCCTTTTGTGACCACCAGTTATCCTTTAGTTTGGCGCAGATTTCTTCGAAGCGTGTTGATGGCTGCTTTAAAGTTGTCTACCAGCCTTGGATTGGGTGGATTTGCAGTGACTGCTTGATGTGCTCTATGCTTTTGTTCCAACAAAGTCTGTATATGAGGTTGATTTTTGTTAAACCAGTCTAGTTTAAACAAGTCTGACGGTTGTATAAGGTTATACCGCCTATACTCGGACGTCAGAGCCTCGTTTGTTTAAACAGGGTGCGCCACGTGAAGGTGAGGTTGATTTTGGGGTAAGCTAGGCTATATGTATCGCTTCACTACCCTTTGCACCCCTAGCCGGTTGAGAACCTTTTTTGACGGGGTATTGTATCGTAGGCCCTTTCAAGATGTACAAAAGCCAAGTGTTCTACGTATATTTGCTTTTCCAGAAGGTGCTGACGTATGAAAAGTTTGTCCACACAAGATCTGCCCGGTCTAAATTCACTTTGGTTCTCTCCAATTTTACGGCCAATATTTGCTGATAGTTTGGATTGTAGAATTTTACTAAACAACCTGCCCATCATACAGTTGACACTTAGTCCCCATCCAGGGTCTCTCCGATTTCCCTTTTTAAATGATATGGATGCTATATGAGACATTTTCCATTCTTGGGGTATTCTATTCTATTGATTGCTAGGCATTTATTCATTGGACCTGAAAATCTTTTTTATTTTTCATCTTATTAAGTTCTATTTTTACTTTTTCCACTGATATTTAGTTTTGTTTGATATATTTGGTTTTGGTACATGGAGCAATTTAAATATTTTTTCCGAAGAATGAGTTGCTAACCCATTGCTCCAACCCCCAGACTTTGGAGGACCAGGATTTTCTCTATTCAGTTTTAAGGCGCCAGCTCCCCCCTCTTTTACCCTCTTCCGTTTGCTACACAACGTATACCCATTGGACATCTTGCGTTGCCCAGGGGTCACGACAAGGACGTGGAAGTAGGATTTGTTTACAGGCATTTCCGGATTTACCCGGAGTTTTATTTTAACAAAAGTCTTGGCTACTTTTGTCACCTCCGTGACCTTAGTCTAGGCCATTTGACACCCTATAAAAATAATTACCTCTTATTATTTTTTCTTTAGCATTTCCATTATTTCAGGAATCTGGAGAGGACCGTACTATCATAAGAAGTAACTTAGAAGGTTTAATGGACGTAAGATCGGTGCAAAGCGATAATATTGCAGAAAATGCTTGTGGGAAGTTGAATGGTGGATGCAGTCATCTATGTTTGAGAAATCCTAATGGTTTTACATGCGCTTGTCCAACAGGTATGGATTTGCAATTACTTGAGGGGATTATTTTTTTCTTTTCTTATTGCATTAATGCTATAACGTTTTATTTTAAAATAGGTTTAGCAGTTTCTCAAATAAATCATAATGAGTGTGACCCAATCCCGAAAACATTTTTGTTGACAGCCGCTAGATATTCTATAAGTCAAATCAGCTTAGATACATCTGATACGTGGGATGTAACTCTTCCTATTCAAGATGATATGCAGAACGTTATTGATATCGACTTTCACTACAGAAAGAAGTTGATATTTTATTCCGACATAGGCAGCAATTCAATTAAAAGTTTCAGCCTTTACAACCTTTCAGACGTAAGAATAATCGTAAGTAAGAATGTATCGTCACCCGATGGTCTAACAGTTGATTGGCTAGCTAATAATATATATTGGACAAATACTGGCAATAAAGTAATAGAAGTTGCTAGGTAAATAGTACATCGTAGCAAATTACTAAATTGGAGTTGTGATTAATTATTTTTATTCAGATTGGATGGTTCAAATCGAAAAACAATAATATCTAAGGAACTGGAAGATCCTAGATCTATAGTGGTAAATCCTAAACGCGGATATTTATATTGGACCGACTGGGATCAAGCTAATCCGCGTATTGAACGTAGTAATTTAGATGGCACTAACAGAATTCCTATTGTAAAAACAGATTTGTCGTTTCCTATCGGATTAGTTATCGATTATTCAAACAGACGGCTTTATTGGATTGACGCAAAATTAAACGAAGAACGAATTGAAACTTCTGACTATGCCGGCAATAATAGAGTAACTTTACCAATTGATAAGACACATCCATTTTCATTAACCCAGGTAACATACTGACTCTGTCATTAACTAATCAGTTATATTTTAAAGAGTATTTATTTATTAGTATCAGGAATGGCTTTTCTGGACAGATTGGGATCATAAATGTATTATGAGAGCTGAAAAAATTAATGGAAATGGAAAAATTGTAATTAGGCCGATGCACGCTGCTATGGGAATAACCATGGTTTCAGAAGAACGACAAACCAGTTGGAATCCATGCGCTGTGAATAATGGTAATTGTACACATTTATGCTTCTTCAAGCATAAGGGATATGTTTGTGGCTGTCCAGATAAATACGTACTTGGATGCAAAACAAGTGAGTTAATAAATATTGACAGTACTTACTACTTCATTTTTACAGGGTGAGTCTTAAATAAGTGAAAATGTTTTCAGGGCTGGTAGATCTCGATAAAGATACATATTTTCTCTTTGCCGTTTTTCAAATAAATCTAAAATAACTGTGATATTTTAGTTTGAAAATTTTCAAATTAATTATTTTTTTCTAAAATTTTCAGAACCACTAGAATTTTTCTGTGTGTGGAGATACAGGGTGTAGAAATTTTATTTTTATTTCCATATTTTTCAAATAATTTCTGAACCAAGGTGTGTATTTGGATGAAAATTGGTGTCTGTTTTTTTTTGACATAATAAATAATTTGATTTCGATGTAAATATGACTAGTTGCAGGTGGCGCCACCTACATGTTTTTGAATTGTTTTACAGGGTAATAATTTCTCGTCCGTACACGTATTAAATTACTGACTGAAAAAATATACATTTCCGCTGTTTTTCACGAAAAAAACTTCTCTTTGTAAAATGCGTTATGAGTTGGTGGTTCTCAAAATATTTGAAAACGAAATAATCAATACATGTCACTATTGACAAAAATTAAACATGTTTACTAGATAGTTATTAGACTGAAATAATAAATCTGGAATATTTTTGTGTCAACAGAAACTGTTTTATTATAATTCTTTCTAGAAAAATTTACGATTATTTAAAAAAATAAAAAATTCTCCAATTTGAAATAATTATGTAAGATAGTCAACATAGTTTAATTTTTGTTAATGATGACATATATTGATAATTTTCATTCCAACTGTCGTGGAAAGGTTGCTCTTAGCGTAAGAAATGACGAAAATGTTTTTTTACTCATTAATTTTTAATACAGGTACGGCAAAAAAGTCATTACACTTCAAAATAGGCCTGATGTTCCAAACACCGGAAAACCGTTTTAATACTGGTGTTGGGCTGACACCGATGGCCAAATATAGGCTATCCGGTGTTGATACCGACATCGGTGTTGACACCGACACCGGTGTTCATCTCGATACCGGTTTTGACTACGACAACTGTTTTGATATCGACACCGGTATTAGGTAAATGGGTTAAAGAAGAAATAATGTTAATTAATAAGTTCAAAATAAACCTGATAATAATAATGTCGTATCGGTGCTTATTTTTATCGTTTATTAAAGCGCACCGACTTTAACTTAAAGATTTTAAATTTAAATATAATTTATTTTGCCAGACTAAGCACCAAAGTGGAAGCGTCAGATAAATAACTATAAAGCAAAAAAATTGTTTAATCAAAAACAAATAGAAAACAAAACATAAAGAAACAAAAATTCGTATAGCTGCAAAATAAACCAAAAATATTACATTAAAAAAACTAAAAAAAACAAACAAGCAGCACCATCGACATCTAAACCGACACCGGTGTTGATCTCGATATAGTTGAGATAAACATCGGTGTTGAAATAAACTCCGGTGTCGAGATAAACACCTGTGTCGGTGTTGACGCTGGTACACCGACTGAAACACCGGTGGTCATCAACCCCTAACACCGGTGTTCAAACCTCAACACCGAACAGGTCTACTTCAAAAGATTTCAAATGCATGTGAGTCATACTGACATCAAAATAAAATTTCCCGTGTCAAATTTTCATGCAAATATCCACATTTCCTCCAAATATCGGCAGTAGTACAGAAGTTACTTTGAAAAAATTGAAATTAAAATGAAATTTCTACATCCTGTATCTACTAGACGAAACATTTCAGGACATATTTGTACAAATTTTTTTACTTATTTTTTGATCTGCAGAATATTTTGTCAAAGATTCCCGAATACACCTCGGACCACCCCGTAAATACATATACCGGGTGGTGCATCGTTGTTGGAAATCGCATGAACATTTTGAACTGTCCAAATATTAGCTCCCCAGTTCGTTCTACAGCGAAATGGTACATATATTTTTTAAAGATCTGCGTATGCTGAATACTCATGTCAAATTTCAACAATTTTGAAAAAGTTGATTTAAATAATTAAGAAGAAAAACAATATCTATTTTTAAATTGAAACTGAATAGGTAAAAATGCAAAACTAGGCAAATACCAACATACCTTAAGATGCTAACCTACGATTTTATGAATGACAAATTGTATTTTCTATACGCTAGGCTTTTGCTTAATTCCAACAAGTTTTTAATTACACAATGCTGGAACACTAACCATATGGTACTATAACGCAACGTGGTAACGTAGATAACACAACAAATTACATTTGCCAATGAAAAAATTATAGGTTAGCAACTTAAGGTATTTGCCTAGTTTTGCATTGTTACCTTTCAATGTCAATTTAAAAGTAGATACAGTTTTTCTTAATTAATTAAAATCGGCTTGATCAATATTGTTCAAATTCAGCATACGCAAACTTTTAAAAACCTATTTAAAAATTTGCTGTGAATTAACAGGAGAGCCAATATTAATAAAAAGCAAATAAATATTAAGCAAAATAAATAAAGACAATGAAAGTTCGAAATTCTTTTAGTTTTAATACTGAATAATTTTCTACCATATTCAAATTCAAAGTTAAAAAAAATATTTATTTTTAAAAAAAAATGGAGAGCCACCGGATTTCTTCTGTATATGCATCGCTTTTAATGCCGTAATCATAGAGTAAAGCTGTAACCGTAGTAATATCAGAGATTAAGGAATTATATCGTGGAAAAATTGGCCGTGAACAGGCAATTCCAAAAACTTTTATAAAATATACAGAGAAATTAAATTAAAATTAAATATATAGAGGCAAAAAACCTCATACCCGTTTTTCTGGGGTCGAAATATACCACCCCTAATTATATTTGCACCTTAAATGTGGTAGACAATAATTCGTATTGAAACGAAAATAATTTCGGACTTTCATTGTCTTTATTAAGTCTGAAATTATTTTAATTGCATATTTGTACTTACTTAAAACTCACCCTGTATATAATATATCGAAGATACGAAAAATAATTTCTCTCCTATGAAGTATCAATTGGATCTCGAAGGTCTTCTATTGGACTTATCTTATCTCTCTCTTTGGTCCGTTTCCCTGAAGAGGGATTAGTGACTATGATGTTCCTGTAGCGGTTTTTATCGTATTGTGCCAGTCCGCTCTGTTTTGAGCCATGCTGACGGTTTCATGAAGGCCTTGGCCGATTAGGTCTTTAGTTTGATCAACCCATCTCTTGGGTGATCTTCCTAGTGGTCGCTTTCCCTCTACCTTTCCCTCGACTATTAGCAGCTGCAGTGAGTCCGTTCTTCTAGCAATGTGACCAATATATGTCAGAAAACATCGGTTTATTTTTTTTGAGAGGCTGAGTTGTGAGTTTAGTTCTTGGAGAACTGACTCATTCGTACGATGGGCTGTCAAGGTATACGTAGCAGACGTCTATATGCCCACATTTCAAAAGCATCTATTCGCCTGGTATCGCTTTTCTTCAGCGTCCATGTTTCCGCCCCATACGTAGCAATCGGGAAAACAAGCGAGTTCAGCAGTCTTAGTTTGGTGTTCTTAGTGATGGCTGTATCTTTCCATATCTTAGTTAATTTAGTTACGGCTGTTCTAGCCAGCGCAATTCTACGTCTTATTTCGCCTTCGCATGAGCCGCTGTTGTCGATTAGCGATCCCAGATATAAGTATTTATTAACCACCTTAAATCCAGCTATGTTTCCCACGTGAAGTTGGTTGTTGTTTTGTCGGTCCAAAATCATGACAGTAGTTTTGTTAGGATTAAGTTTTAGCCCAAATTCTGTACTAGTTTCTTGGAGACGTTGCATAATAAATTCCATTTCTTCCACACTTGATGTTATGATTAGTGTATCGTCGGCATATCTTAGATTATTGATTTTCCTTCCCCCACAGATACTCCACCTTGCCAGTTATCGAGAATATCACGCATTATGTACTCGGTATAAATATTGAACAATAGGGGTGAGAGAACACACCCTGCCTGACACCCTTCATTGCTTGAAATCTATTTGATGTGACATCATTAATTCTTATAAGTCCGTAATTATGTTGGTATAGTTGTCGGATAAGTAGAATAAGGTGATCAGGAACCCCCATTCCCTTGAGTATTTGCCAAAGTTTTTGCCACTTGACTAGATCGAAGGCCTTAGAATAGTCGATAAAACAGAGATACATTTCTATGTTGAATTCTCGCGCTTTTTCTATTAACTGTCGTACGTTCCCTATCTGTTCTCTGGTACCCTTACCAGGCATAAAGCCAGTTTGTTCTTCTGCAATCTGTGGTAGTAGATATGGCCTGAGTCTGTTGTTAATAATCTGCAGGAGAATTTTGCATGCATGAGGAATTAAAGCAATCATTCGATAGTTATTGCAGTCTGCCGGATTACCCTTTTTATATAGTGGTATATATAGCGAGCTGCACCAGTCGTCTGGCCAAATTCCCGTCTTCCAAATCAGATTGCATATGAAATGAATAACATCAATTACCGGTTGCCCTATTGACTTTAATATCTCAGCAGCTACACCATCTATACCTGGGGCTTTATTTTTTTGAGACGATTTAGGGGCGTGTTCAACTTCTGATTTAAGGATCTCCGGTTCATGTTCCGAATTGGTTGGGACGATTAATATTATTAGAAGATTCACCATCTTCGTAAAGCTTTGTGCAGTACTTTCGCCAGACTTCAGCAATACCATCCGGATCAGTAATCTTTCGACCATTTTCATCCTGTATAATTTGTGTACGTAGTTGAAACTCACGAGAGAGATATTTTACCTTATTGAATAGCTCTCTAGATTCGTTAGTTGCCGAGTGTCTTTCCAATTCTGTGCAAATCTCGTGGACGTGCGTGTTTTTATCCTGTCTACAGCTGTTTTTTATTTCTTTATTGATGTTTCTTAGTTTGTGTCTTTGTCAAATGTTGTTGATATGACTAGGTTTCTTCTTTTTTCAAGCAAATTGATCGTATTATTCGACATCCAAGTTTTGGACTTTAATTTAGTGTTTCCAGATGTGCAAC